CATGGGAGATTGAAATTTCAAATGTATTGGTTGGAAGTATTTAGAATTTAAAAGAAGGAGAGAGGTTTCTGTAAGAAGTTCAAGATTGTTTTTACCAATTAGGAAGGATTCTATGATGGATTGTTGGTAACATCTAATTAAGATACAGTTAGGCCACTCCAAGATGATTCATTGTTTCCCATTACATCAGAGCTTCAAGAGCATGCAGGTGGGCAGTTTATTATTCATTATTACTACAAGCCACTTTACCACAATCACTTAAGAACAATTTACAATACTCAAACAGAAATTGCACCATGCACAACATACACAATAAAAAACACTACAAGCAGTACAAAATGCATATTCACTTCTTCTTTACTGGTGGCAGATGAGAGCACACTTCACACTGTGGGTACAAGTCAGATGATGTGTGTGACTGCTCAACAGGATAGCAGTACAAAATGCATATTCACTTTTTCTTTACTGGTGGCAGATGAGAGCACACTTCACACTGTGGGTACAAGTCAGATGATGTGTGTGACTGCTCAACAGGATAGCAGTACAAAATGCATAGCCACTTTTTCTTTACTGGTGGCAGATGAGAGCATACTTCACACTGTGGGTACAAGTCAGATGATGTGTTTGACTGCTCAACAGAGTAGCAGTACAAAATGCATAGTCACTTTTTTACTGGTGGCAGATGAGAGCACACTTCATACTGTGGGTAGAAGTCAGATGATGTGTGTGACTGCTCAACAGGATAGCAGTACAAAATGCATAGCCACTTTTTCTTTACTGGTGGCAGATGAGAGCATACTTCACACTGTGGGTACAAGTCAGATGATGTGTGTGACTGCTCAACAGAGTAGCAGTACAAAATGGATAGTCACTTTTTTACTGGTGGCAGATGAGAGCACACTTCACACTGTGGGTAGAAGTCAGATGATGTGTGTGACTGCTCAACAGGATAGTACACACACATTGATTCAAAGCCTGATGAGTAATGTAGTTTTCAGTTGTGTCCCCCACATGCATGATCTTTGATTTACACATTTTTGAATTCATCTCAGAGATTCAACTCTTCAAGCTTGGCACCATAAGGATTTGAATAGTCATCCAAATGTCTTTGAAGTTGACAATGCTTTTTCAGCACTGAGCTTGTGCTTTGAGTAAACATGTCTTGCATGTTGCACTTTTCACACTGCACCATCAGCTGTGAATTTTTTTTGCATGTTGCACACTAGCATAAAACAAGAGACTTTTCTCTTAGATAGTTTCTACTTCAAGTAAGGTTGATGCTGTTCACTTGTATCTGTTCCCAAAACTTGTGAAAATGGAAGGTAGTGTCCATATTCACCAGGAACAGGAAATGGAAGAATTAATGTGATCAAAAATATCTCTGGGCATACGGACAAGCTTACACAGCTTACGTGTATCTTTTCCACATTTGTGGATATCAAATGTGTAGTGGCCCATCTGGCAAAAAGCTGAAGGAATTCTGATATATTCTTGTGTTCTTCAATGTTTGCCTTCACATAATTTCAACTCTCTTCTAATGTGTTATCCAACTGCTGTACAGAATTCACTAATTTCCAGAGGTATTACAAAAATATACGTTTGAATTGGCTTTTCTTTCAGCTGCAAACAAGTGAAAATTGTGCAAAGCAAGATCTTCACTGGTGATATAAGCTATCTTTGACAGCTTAACAATTTGGTCATTTCTTTTAACAGCTTTCTTCAGCTCAGCAAGAGTTAGCCACTTTTTTCTCATAGTCATCTGGCATTTTCTCTCTGACTAACTTCACACACTGCAAAACTCAATTCAATATGGTCATGATCCTTTCTACAGAGTTCTACTGGAACTCATCTGCCTCACTCTGCTACTGCTACTGAGCAACTAGGTTAATCTATTTTGAATTTATGCTTAAGGCAGACCAATGCACAATAATAGGGCATACTCACAGAATGGAATATTGCTGCTGCATAATGACTATCAACATGTGAACGGTGCCATTGCTGAACCATGAACTTCATTTTGAATCTTTCAGCATAGTGAAGGGAACTCTTTGCAATTGGTGTTTTGGGCCAAAACTGAATCCTTGTCCACTCAATACTTGGAATGGGAGTATCGACAGGGCAGCAACTTTTCACTTGCTCAACAAAATCCTGAACAAAGATAGTTTGAGCGAGATGAGTAATTTGACCATGCCATCTATCATCAACAGCAACACTGATGTCTTCACTTAAAAATTTTGAACATTCTTCCCAAATTGTGTCAAACTTTGTGGCTTGACCTGAGTTTAATGCCTAAAGATCTGTAACAATATTGACATCTTTCATGTCAACAATTTGTTGGATCCTCTTGTCTACTTCAACCTGCTCAGCCATTGAAGCTGCTAACTGACCTCCTGTTAACTTCCCGTAGAAGTAACACAGGACAGAAGGCTTTGTAGAAGGTCAAATGTGGCCAAACTTTTGAAACAATGCAGCACGCATTGCACATGTATGATACTTAGGAAGCAGTGTCTTGACAAATTCAGCCAGAGGTAAACTCTTTTTGAAGACAGTAGATGGATCACTGTCAGTTGGAACTTTCCATAAAAAGAGGAGATTGCCAATGTTACTTCCTGGAAAGTAAACAAGGAGTACACAAGGAAATCAAAAACCAGTTGTGGTCAAAATTTCTGCAGTGCAATGTTTTTGGTTGGATTTGATGGTAGCAAGTCAGTAATTGAGCAATATTCAAAATTAGCCTTTTGGTACATGCATTCCTCAATAGCAATCAGAGAAGATGGCATCATGGTGACGGTTGAAGTTGGAATGAGCTTCAGTCAAAGTTTACTTGACAGTTCTCGAACTTGAGTATATGAGGCGTGGTTAAACTTTACAGCATTATTCTTCTGAGTGAGGTATTCTACATATCCAGCTAAGGAACGTGCAAGATCTTAACATTTACCTTGAAATCACACCAGTATTCTCTTTCCCATGGATTAGCTTGTAAAAGTGTTGATAGTTTGCTTTTCACCTTTCTATGTTTTTGAAATTTTTGATACATTGTAGTCCTTGAAGAAGCTAAAAACAACAGGCACAGATGTAGATCTTTGACTGAAAACTTCATGGTGGCCATCAATATTACTGTGGATGTTTGAAAATAGATAAGGTTCCTGCACCTCATATTTACACAAGTTTTAAAAGAGGTTAAAAACCTGATTTCTGAGTTATATACTTTAAGTTTTTGTTGGCAGTTGGACTGGCAAGTTCATGCTAGTAGAGTGGAGAATGGTTAATGTTTTTTCCAATTTTTAAAGGAGGAGATAAGCATTGTTCATAAAATCTTAAGCCATTTAGTCTTTGGTATGCTTTAGAGAGGCTCGTAAAGGATTCTTTTACATGATCCTTTGATGAATTTCAGGATTTTGTAAGATGATATTACTTCACAAAGGGAAGATCTTGCTTTAGTAACTTTTTTTTAGGATGTTACTTCTTTTATTTATAATAATGAGGGTAAAAGAGTGGATGTGGTTTAGCTGGATTTTAAGAAACCTTTTCATAAGGTGCTGCCTAAAAGATTGTTCAAAAAGATTACCTCAATTGCAGTAGAGGATACGTTATTTAAATGGATTGAAGGTTGGCCTAGTGGAAATTAAACTATGTTCTAAATGAAACAACTTTGTAGTCACTTTTTCCCAATCCCAACCCTTTATATCAAGGTGACTCTTATTTAATAGTGAAATTTCAGGTTAAAAATTCTAAAGCTTTCACCCCCCAATTTTGATCCAATATAAAAAAAAACACATTAAATTTCAAACTTCATCCCTTTTGAACCATATTTAAAGGTTGCTCAATGAGTTTGAAGTTCTAGACTGCAGTGGCCAGGTACCATATGTACTATAAAAATATATTTACCATGTATTATAAACAATATATTTAAAGTATATTATCATTTTGTCACATGGACAAATGTGTAATTACATATATGATTTTTATGGGGTTAATCACTTTTGAATTGTTATTGTTTCTTTTTTGATGTTAAGAAAGTGTTTTCTATGATCCTGCACAACTTGAAAGGGGAATTATTTCTGTTCTTCCTTCTTCTTACTATAATGGACATAGCATGTATAATCAGTATCTATGTAACCAAAACTCTTGTGCCATCTACTGAATAGCAACACAAACAAAAATCCATAAAAATTTCACGCTTTGGAAATTCAACAATTTCTTTATAATATAACACAATTTTAAATAAAAGTACTCTTCTTACAACAAGAATACAAATTTCACTAGGGCTGTATTTGAGGGTTTGATTATATCTTTATTGGTGTAATTTTTAAAAGTAGTACTGAAAAACTGGAGTTCTTAAAAAAAACTACTTGAATTATTTTAAATGTTTGTGAAATAGACAAAGGGCTACATTTTGCTTTGGTTTTGGTGATTTAGTTGGCTAATTTTATGAGTGGAGGTATGACCTTACCTTGCTGGACTAGTTGACCTTCTGTCACCTTGACTTTTTTCATGTTTTTATGTTTCCTTAGCAAGCTGCTATATTGCTTACAGGATGGTACCACAGCCGTATAGGATGTATATTGTAGTGTCAAATTTATCTCAAATTTTATTTTTATTAATGACATTTCTTTAAGGACAGAGGCATTCATCGTTTACTGCATACATATATTTACATTATTTGTTTGAAATCTTTGGTACTGTATAGAATTTCACATCTTAGTTTAACATTGTGCACCCTATAACCTGAAGGGTTTTGTCTCATTAATTTATGATGATTCCTGAAAGTTGAATTGTTGATGTTGAAGATATTACTATATATTCCAACAACTTTGTTGGAATCTTTGACTCTCAAAAGATAAGTTGTAAAGCTTTGTAGTTTGTCATTAGCCTAAATATGCAATAGAAGTATCAAACCACTTTTCACTTTTCAAAGAAAAATTACAAGCATTTTATTTATCATTCAGAAATCCAATATCAACCACAAATGATAATTATATAACATTTCATTTTCATAGGTGGAGACATCAAAGATTTTAAACATTCCACTCATTGTTACTGAACAGGTAAGTGATTTACAAAAATCTTTCGAAACATTTTGCTAGTGATACTCAAGCTCTTATAATACATTTAAATATATTCTTCCTGTAAAAATAAAAGTGATATTTGTTTTCAATGAAGCTGATACCTCAAAAGTTTTATTGTAGAAGTGTAATGTATGGTCTATGTATCATGTAAAATATTAGCTCAAAATCACACTAATACAAAATCCTGTTTAATCTTTATAGATGCATTACTCTGAAAAATTTATTATTCATTCATTTCTTTTATATTAAAAGTTTTAGCTCTTATATATGAAATGAATAAAATAATATTACACTGTGTGTTGCAATTTGACATTTACTTTGCTGTTGTCAGTGGGAACTTAAAAATCAATTAACTTGGAGTTCTGTATTTATATTGATCTTTGAAGTTTATATTGTTACAGTTATCGGAGACAGTGATCAGAATTTTTCTAAGTTGAATTTAATAATTCACCCGTTCTAGACATTTTCTTATTCAGTGTTTTGAAATTCCATAGAAGGTGTTATAAACAAAATATTTTCCAAGTCAAAATTTTAATCAGGCTATTAATAATAGAAAGTGGCTGTTAGCTAGATTTACAAAATTCTTAATATTTGTGTATCAAAGAAAGTAGACAAAAAACAACTGTTGGAAGAAATATTAATAAATGTTAATGATCAAAGATGTACATAGAAAAAATGAGGAAAACTTGTAACTTGTGATAAATGTATGCATTGAAAATGTATGCCTCTTATTATGGTTATTAAGGGAATTGATATATCGTTGTTTTTAGAATTCTAAGGACATTAGAACAAGTTATTGTAAATTTAAGATTTAGAAAGGTCAAACTACTGTAAAAAGTAGTAATGTTATTGTAATTACCACAAGAAATTACAAATTCAGAAGAATTAAGTAAGAAATTATTGTTTATGTAAAAAAAAGGAAAACATTTTAGTTATAAAAGTAATAATTACAAAGGGTGGTTGATGACAGTTTTTGATTATAAAGACTGAAAAATGTTAGTTTCGTACAAAAACTTGACCCTTCTTGAGATCAAGTCTTAGGATGTTATCCTTGGTGTCTTTTACATTGCATTTTATTATACTTTAAAAAAAAATTTCCTTCAAATACAGAACCTTTGATCTTTCTCTAGCATATTGTCTAATGCATAATGTTACAAACCAATGATATTTTAAAATCTCAATAATATCAATAATATCTCCCAGGACCAGGTTTATATTTAGATAAAGAAAACAAAAAGATGTTTTAAGGTTTCGTTACTTGCTTGAAACTGGTAAACAATAGGAAGTTTGAAAAGGAAAACTTTAGCTTCATGATGGTATGAAATTCCAACTTCACACATGGCAATGCTCTATAGAGGAATGTACATGTGCCCAAGGTAGTGAAAGAGTTGAAGTATGTATTCTTTTGGTTAATTTTTAGAAGAGCAATTAAAAACACTTTCAGTATTAATAATTTCAACTTACTATATTTCTTTGCATTTCAGAAGCTGAGTTTTGAATTTTTTTTTTCATGGATTCAAACTTATTTTTACAGTATCCAGAAGGCTTAGGATCAACTATTCCAGAACTGGATATTACTCATGCTGTTGGTATTTTTCCCAAAACCAAATTTAGTATGCTTATTCCAGAAGTAGAAAATGTTTTAGCCAACAAATGTTGCTCAGAAGGAGTTGAAGCTGTAATTTTATTTGGAATAGAGGTAAATAAAGGTTAATATTTTAACTCTGAGAATTTTCTAAAGTGTAGTAGGCATTAGAAATATTCATGTCAACATCAATATTAAAAAAAGCAAGAACTTGCTAATAAGCATGTACAGAATTTAGTACATTATAAATTATTTTGATTATGCAAATCTACAAGTCATTTGACAACCACAGCTAATATAATATTGCAATGGAATGGCATCTATCAGAAATACTATTTGACACTTGTTGTCATTTTGTAGTGTGATGTCATTGAAAATGTATCACTTGCAGGAAGGGTATTCAACAGCCTTTTCTGAACAAAATATTTGTACACTCAGATCATAAAGATGTGTTCAGATTGAAGATTTAGAATTTCCAAGATGGAAATATCCCTTGTACTTAATGGCATTGGAAAACAAAAGAATATGGATCAACTTGGGGTATCAGGAACATCCAGATATAGATCTGCAACAAGTTGTACCCCAGCCATAGTAATCAAAGTGCTACATTTTGTAACAGATGAGAATTCACAAACACAAAAATCAACAGCAAAAGCCATCCATGTGTTCCAGACAACAGTGTGCAATATAATTGCGAAGAATCTTTTTCTGGAAACAGAGCCAACTGGGTTTAGTTTCACCAAGATAAGGCTTCCAGTGATACCTCCTGCTCAGCTGTTATATATGCCTCAAGCAGTTGAAGAATGAAACTTGTATTCATGCTATTCCATACAAAGGCATGCTAGTCAACTTGCCAGACATGGCAAGCATAGATGTTCACGTGATTTGGACTGTTGAAATAGGTGCTGCAAACATCCATCCTTGTGTACTAGATGGATTATGGGTAGTAAGTATGGAAGAATGGTGTGCTTCAGACATGACAGCCTTATGACAGAGCCTTTTACAATGGAAACTACACTATAGGGTTATTGTCGAGATGCACAGCATCAGGTACAACATGACCAAATATAGTGACGTAGACTATAATGACATGTTGAGGTTCCAAAATCATTTTAATATAATGTACTGAACCTTCTTTAATTAAATAAATATATTGTATAAATTGTAGCCAGTTATTAACTTATATTTTAGTTAAGAAAGAATGATCTTTAAATCTAAGTAAATACATGTACTCGAAAAAGTATAGTTTTTACCAACCACTGATATCTTTTGATGTAAGCTAGCCACTTATCAAAAGTATAAAGTGAAATGTTAAAGAAATAATGATAAAATGTGAAATACACTATTACTAAATACAGTTGAAGAATATTAATAATAATTATTATAAAAATAGATGAGTAAAAAAAATCTGTGTATATTGCCTGATCTGGTAAGTAAAAACAGTTAACCTGTTCAACAAATACACATAGAGGGGACTAACATCAAAATGTTAAGAAATATAAAACATTATAAAAGGGGGGGTGGAGACTTGTGGAACAAAAGATGAAATTAGCTATTATGGTGCCATCTAGCAAACACAAGTTTCAGTTGGTAAATACAGTATTTTGTTCATACTAAAGTTTTGCCATTTTAATAGTTCAGAGCTCTTGTTATATGAATATTATCATATTTTACAACAGAATTTATTAAGATTTACAAATTAGATTTGAACATCTTTTCTTTAAACAGATTTGGTCACATATTTTTCTGTTTACATCTTACAATAACTCTCCACTTTCCCCATTCTAATAAGAAGAGAGAATTACTGGTATTGAATGGAGAATTTTTTCCACTGTTTATAGAAACATTGTGACTTGAAAATAATTCCTAAATTATGTTCCTTCAGATTTAGTTACCAGGTTTGACAAGTTTTTTATTTTATATTCAGCACAAAATAGCTTTATAATTTTTTTGCGAAAAAGTCAAAGAATACATCTATTGCTAGTTTCTTTAGGATCACAGAACAAATTGAATTTATTCATCTGATTTCAGATTTTTTTATTTTTAAATTCTAAAAATTAAAACATTGATATTTTCTGTAGGCACATGTCTGTATAGAACAAACAGCTTTAGACTTAAGAGCTAAGAACATACAAGTCCATGTTGTTGCAGATGCCACTTCATCTAGAAGTCAAGAGGACAGACTATTAGCCTTTGAGGTAAAAATATAGCAAAATCTCTGATATCTGTGGAATATAATATTAATAGACAGTGATACAATAATGTAATGCGTAAAACCATAATAATCATCAAGAAGAATCATAAGTAATTTCTCTAGTAGGCCCCATATTTTAAACTCTCCTCGGTCTATACTGCTAAAATATTTTGATATTTGCATTAAGTATTGTAGGAGGATATGTTCCTAATATCAATTTTGAAAATTCAAAACTGGATTTAGCAATTTGGGAAATGATGTGCAAAATTCTTTTATGTACTCAACAATGCTCTCGCCAGACAAAATGTGAATGTCTACCATTTCGTTTCTGTTGACCCTTTTGATCTGAAATTAATGTAAAAAATTCAATTGATTTTTTTATGTATTTCTATGAGATACTACTAGAATACTATGTCTGATACTGACTTTTGGTCACTAGTCTTTCCAGTTCTGCTTTATTGTGGCTAGGGCATTCAACTTGCAATCTGTGAGTTGTGAATTCGAATCCCCATTTCAGCAAACATGCTCACCCTTTCAGCCATGGGGTCATTATGATGTGATGGTCAATCCCATTATTCATTGGTAAAAGAGGAGTCTACTAATTAGTCAACATATTGTCTTTCAAGTAGAAAATACTTACTTCTTTAGATTGTTTTAAATTAAAATTGAACTTGGAGTATCATTACCATCTTGTCTCTAATTAGTACAATATTTACTAGTTAGTTTCAATCGTACTTTATTGTTAATGGTGGTAGTGGTGCATGTGGTATTCATTTAGAAAATTTGATTGATGTCTTCAGTGAACACTAACTGGCTAAAATGCATATAGTAATTCTCATTAGCAAAATATTTTGTGGATACACCTCTATGAATGATAGCTGTAGCTTTTGGGTACTGTCAAGTTTTATATTCAACTGGTTTTAGATCGACTCTTAATTAAAAATATGTTAAGCAATATTTCATTTTCATTAAGGTTTTTAGTCATAACTTGTAACTTAAAAAAGTGCAAGGTGAAAAAATATTTGTTCTAGATCTTATTATAAAGCAAGATAGCCTCAAACACTTTCTTTAGCGTATTATTAGTATATGTACATATAATATATCATAACCAATACTTTGAATGGTCAATTTTTTGCTTAGGAATTCAATAGGATGGTTTTTTGGTACGTGAATCATTTGGGAACCTTGTCAATCCCTACTATTAAGTACTACTATACTTAATAATACACTTTATACCTGCTCATATTTTAAGTGTCAATTGTTATAAACTATGCATGATCAAAATACTTAAATTAAAATATTTCCATCTCTAGATTTGGAGCAGTTATTTCAAAAAAAAAATTTACCTCAAGAAAATAACAGCAACTTAATAATTCTCTTTTTGTTCTTCCATCACCACACATAAAAGTATATTTTGTTGGTTCTGGCTGATGTAAATTTTATCTAAAACATTTCGGGCGCTCGACTCGCAATCTGCAGGTCGTGGGTTCGAAACCCCGTTACACCAAACATGCTTGCCCTTTCAGCCGTGGGGGCGGTATAATGTGACGGTTAATCCCACTATTCGCTGGTAAAAGAGTAGCCCAAGAGTTGGTGGTGGGTGGTGATGACTAGCTGCCTTCCCTCTAGTCTTACACTGCTAAATTAGGGAAGGCTAGTGCAGATAGCCCTCGTGTAGCTTTGCGCGAAATTCAAAACAAACCTGTCCCTTTAAATTGCCAAAGCCAAGGCATGTAATTCCAATTTTCTATATGTGTGAAATTGAATTCTTAGGAGGTAACATAAAATGAAAATGTTTTGGCTAAGTTTAACAGTTCTTATGATACAAGATTTCAAATATTTTAGAACCTTTCTTCATTGTTGAAATATAACTTAGGCATTTAGGACATTTACTGCATGAAAATGAAACTTTAAGAAATGGTTATTAAAGTTTATTTGAATGTTTTGTTGAAGATATGGCTAATATTATGAACTTAAGAAACTGTACAACTTTAAAACTTGTTCTGCAAACATGACATTAGTATTTATTTGGAAATAATTGTGGTAGAAATGTTGCTACACCTTGAAAAAAAAGGATTTGAGATGTATGATTCAGTTTGTTAGATGATCAGAAAAATGTTTTGCCTCCAGATATATAGAATAAGAATTTGGGTGCTTAAAATTTGACCAGATATACTTTATAGTGAGCAGTAAGTATAAGTTCATATGATTGGAGAAAATGGATTGTAAATTTCTGTAATGATTTTTGAGAGGAAATAGTACCCGTTTGTCAATGCACTAGGAGCACACTTGCTAAAGTGGCCAACAAATCATAATTACTTAAAAAAATCTCTTGTTGTAATACAATTTTGTTGAATGCTACATTGTACGTATAATGAAAATAGTATTAATTAAAAATTTTGTAGTCAAATCGCAGCATATTGTATTAGGGGGTTATATTCCAGCCCTATATTTTAATACAATGTAGTTGTTTATGTAGTTGAAGGAATGTGTTTTAATTATTAACATTTTTTCTAACTCCCAGAGACTACGTCAGTATGGGTGCTTCGTTTCCACTAGTGAGTCTGTAATTTTCAAGCTTCTGAAGGATAAAAATCATCCTGATTTCAGTGCAATAAGGCCACTTATCAAGAATGTATCTCCACAAACAGGACTGAGCAGCAAAATATAAATGTATTAAAAATGTCAAAAATTAATTTTAATCGTAAGTTTGATTAAGATATTCAGTTTTTTTGATGAATTTGCTTAAACATGAAATATTTTATAAAAACTTGCAGCTTTTTAATTGAATTCCAATTAAATGAAATTTCCTTTAATTATTTGGGTGTACAATGAAGCAAATAAACTAAGATTGTGGATATTCTGTAATAATTAAATGGATCAAACATTAATGTTTGTTATTATCTACATCTATGACAGATACACCATTAGATCATATAATTGGAAAATATTTTTATTTAGCAATAGGAAACAACTGTAGTTTCTGGTAAGAGGTAAATATTAGAAAGCATGTATGTGGATAAATTTGTACTGAAAATCTGAAATAGCAGATTATGCACATCAAATCTAACTGTAATAACCAATAGAGTTAAAATACAGATAAACTAATAGAAGAAATATCTTAATTTTACTGAAGAAGTAAAGTTTTTCATTTTCTTGAGAAAGCTAAATATACCTTACATCTGTTTCCCATTCATCCATGAGTAATATGCCAATTTTTGTACATGTTAACACTTGTTTCATTGGAATGAAATTTACTGCCTAAAATTGTAAATACTGTAGCATAAACGTAGCTTCAATTGGCAGATTGAATTAGCAAAAGTAACTTCATTTCCTTCTTGATTACAAATGAACTTTTTTTAAAAATAAGCTGAGTATAAAGAAAGGTTTTACAGCCTTGTTTAGAGTGTACATACGATATAAGTGAAAGTTACCAACTCTCTGTTTCTATATAGTATATGTTATAAGTTGGTTTATAACAAGAATTAACATTCTGTAATCATCATCGAAATGGGAAAATTCTATTAAAAACAACCTTTCTCTCTGTTTATGTAGATTCATGAATATTGTTTATTGGTATACATTTTAATTTTATCAGAATGATCATTTTGACCAAAACTATATTTTTATTAACTCATACTTAAAAAAATTAAAAGAACCAACTACTATGAGTACCATTTATTATCACTTTGTATGAATGAAGCTTCTACAGAGTGGTTGATAAGTTTTTGATGGACTAGGAGAAAAAAAGTAAAATAGGAATTTGCTACTTGAAATTGTAATTACATGTATGGTGAAGCATCCATTTGAATCATTGATTTTAGCTTATTGCCATGTTAAATACCATTTGAATTTTAGCCAGGATAATTATATAATAACTCATTAATTCAGCTGTAAGAAGGTATATTATAGGTTAGTTTTGTGCATGTAATACATAAATCAACTGAAAAAAAAAAGCTTAACATAGTACAGTTTTGGTCAATAACAGCTGAAAGCGTAGGTTTAGTTAATAACAAATAAAGACTGAGAATATAACAAAAGTACTCGAGAGTATAACTGTGGAGAAGTATAATTACTTTACAGAACCGTATGACTAGTCAATCCAAATATTAAGTTAAAGTGATTGTAAAAATAACTGGTATAAAGGAATCAAAATAAACACATGATCCTGAAAATGTTAGACTGTAATGAACACTACAGAAATGTGTTGTTGATTTTAAAATGACGTATATTGAAAAAGCAACATTTTATGTTAAATCATGAATTGTTTTACTGCAAAAAAAAATTAGAGTCTTGGTTGTATAAAATGACAATTATTTTCTCAATCAAACCTGCTTTTTTTTTCCTAACTCAAAATTTGTAAACATAATACATGCAAAAAGTAAAAACTTCTATAAATATCTCCATTCATAAAATGATGTATCCATGTTAAAGCAAATTCCATTAACTTAGAAAAAATATAGTTAAGTGTTCCATTGACTATATCAGAGGGGAAATTTAAAATTAGTAGATCATCATTACCTACTTGAGATGTAGCATTGGGATTTTTCAATAACATTGTATAAATATACAAATTGATAACATTTATATTAGTGATAAATAATCCTGTAGCTTGAATACTCCAAAAAAGTGGTATCTTCTCTATTAGGAGTAAAAGGGAAACTTTAATGATCAAATTTAAATAATACTATACTTTTTTTGTACTGATTGAAAACTTAATCATAATTCATATTCATCATATTGTCCAAGCAAACAAAATTTAGTTAAGAAAGTTTTGAATATCTAATGTATTTATTATAAATTATGCTTGAATAATTTTACGTTCAAGAAACTTGTTTGATTACCTACATTTTTAAACTGAAAAGTTTTACTGAAATAAACATGGATTCAGTTTAAAGAGTTGCCACCTATTTTCTACCCTGTTGTATTAATATAGAAATTTTCAAACTTTTAATTTATTCAAGTATGTACAGTTTTCACATAAGTTGGTTAAGAAAGTAATTTGCTTTTACTCTAGCTACCTATAGTTCTGGGTCATTCACACCAAAGATACCATCTTTATATTCCTATGGGAAAGTTTTTTTGTAAAGACTTCATGCCCATACATGTATGGTTGTAAGACACGTTTGAGGAGTATGGCATGAGTAACTTGGCTTTGTTATTTTCATTATGTTTGTATATAAAGCCAGATTCTCCCTTGTTAAGCAAGTTTTTCTTTAAAGTTCTCCTGAAGATTGGATGAGATTTAACTTTAGTAATTTAAAACTAGCATATTTTTTTTGTTGTTGTTTAAATGTTAATTTGATTTCATTTTAGTCTAACTTTCAGGGATGTTTTTATTTTAACATTTTATTTTTATTTTACCTTACTGGTGAAGGGAGGGAGGCTCACACTGTACTGTAAGAGAGGTCTATTAAAGGTTTCTCTACACTTCTATTGCCAATTCAGCATACTCATTATAAACACTTGCCGTTGTTTTATAACTGTACCATTCTTTTCATTTGGTTGTGTTTTGTGAATAAATATTATTGTGCTGAATTTTTTATGTATTGCTTCTTTGTTATTGACAAACTAAGACTGAGTATGGAGAGAGAGAGAAACAAACCTATACTTTGAGATGGGATGTATCTTGAACTTCTAATAAGAGAAATATGAAGGAGAAAGTTTGGTGCTGTGTCCAAAGATATCACTTTTGTGGAGGTTTGTGCTCTTTGTGAGTGAGTATATAGCTATATTCTTCAACATCCCACTAAGTATCCCAAGTGTTTTATACAGAAAAAGCATTTTCTGCTGGATGTAGAGTGTAAGAGCTGAAGGAGGTTGAGTTAGGAGCCAAAGCAGGGTAACCTGCAAGTAAGGTGGTTAGATCCAGGTAATTCCTCTCCTGGATTTCTGAGTTTTATTGATGTTGTAAATCTCCCTAGGACCATCACCCTGCAGCCACAAGCAGAGGATGGGGAACAAATGCAGTAAGGTGTATCTAGAAGGGCCAAAACGAAGTTCACCTCCTGAAACTGAGCCTCAGAAACAGTAGAGCCCAAACAACTGAAAATTGTTGATGTGGTCTCTATAAAACACTTAGATACCTGCCAACTAGATAGTCAAAACCCCAGCTCTGGTTAATGCCACCCATAGGGGAGAAAGACAAGGTGCCATGGGTGGATGAAATGAACTCCATCAACATGACAGCTTCACCAGAGAAACTGCCAATTGATGGAGCAATGGAGAGCATCTCTGTGATGGGAGGCACCGAGCTGAGGCTCAGACATGAAGTCCACTGATGGTTGATGGCCAACAGCAGTAGCTATTTTACCAGCAGGTGAAACAGTGAGCATTCTTGCAAGAAATAGATGGCCAGTGAGGCAGTAAGGAGCTTCTGCTTGAAAACAAGGTGCCTAGCCACACAACTAGTTAGAAGTGAGGCACTTTTATGGGTCAGCTCAACCAAAATTTCTTAAGAAAAATCTGTAAGAGCTTTGTTCACAAGTGATACCTATTGTAATTGTGCAGAGGTCACAGTTCAAGCATTTTAAAGTTTTTCTTTGAAAATTACACACACAAATTTTTTACAAAATATCAATTCATGGATCTTTTCAATTATTAATGCCCTAGTGTGGCCAGGTGGTTAGGGCACTCGACTCACAATCTGAGGGTCGCAGGTTCGAATCCCTCTCACACCAAAACATGCTCGCCCTTTTAGCCATGGGGGCATTATAATGTGACAGTCAATCCCACTATTCATTGTTAAAAGAGTAGCCCAAGAGTTGGCAGTGGGTGGTGATGACTAGCTGCCTTCTCGCTAGTCTTACACTGCTAAATTAGGGAAGGCTAGCGCAGATTGCCCTCGTGTAGCTTTGCACGAAATTCAAAACAAAATCAATTATTAATAGGGTCAAAGGTGGGCTGCAATGAGAGATATACCTAGTATATGCATTGATGATGTCTTGTTATTTGGCAAACATTTGAGTTTGGTATTACAAACATGTCCACAGTTTTCCAGCAGATAAGAATGTCTAGATTAAAGTTGAAACCTGGGAAACGTGTGTTTATTCACACAAAAGTAGAATTTATTGATCGTATTGTGTGTAGAGAAGGCATCTCAATGGACCCTGCAAATACCACAGCACTCACCCCAACTCATGATGACAAGTTCAAAGTATCTTTGAGGTCTTGACTTATTGTCGATATTTAATAACCAGCTTCTCCCAGATCTCCACACCAGTGCTTCTTCTCACTACATCTGACATGCATTTCAGATTATCTGAGGAGTGTAAGCATGCATTTCTGTCCTTGAAGCATGCTTTAATGAAAATTCTAGAACTGGTGTATCTATGATAGGATTGTGATTTCCTGTTGAATACCAATGCCAGTGGTAGTGGAATCAACTGTGACAGAATGGGATTAGATAAGTGATGTCATACATTTATAGCCCTGGATTGAAGGTACTACACGATGAAGAAAGAACTGCTTACAGTTGTAGTCTTTATAAACACTAACATTAATTGTATGGCAGAAATTTCATCCTCATGGTAGGTCACGGATCATTGAAGGGGCTCACGAACTTTCAAGTTTAAAAAGTATTACTGCACATTTGATCATAATGTAGCAAGAGTATGACGTGGTCATACTGGCATCATCTGGGAGTACAACATTGAAATACAGGTGGAATATCTTGCTGTACTGTGAGACTTTATCAGTTCGTTGAATGTCCTGATTCAGGATACTGGGTTTAAATAAAAGTCATTTCACCAGTCAAAATGCAAATCCACATGGTAGGCAATTCACTCTGTATTGTAAAACTCATACCTCAAGAACACTGGGAAGAACAAATGAGGGATTCTAAACTAGCATGGGAACTCTTTGCATTGCAGCAAGTTAACACAAGGCCAGCACAGTTTGGGAATTTAGTGGAATTTCACAAAATCTGTGACACTTACAAGAGCATTTACAGGTGTGCAAGACAAGTTGTACCAATTTTATAGACATGAGTCTCAATCTGAGTTGTAGCTAGTGGTCTCTTGGTAAACTCTCCAGACTTTGCATGATTATATGTTACTATGGTAGTGGCACAAACACCATTTGAGTATAGCAGTACATGTTTGTGTATATATGTATGTAAGGCTTTGAATACATTTATGAAACTATAATCAAGGTTATTTATAAGTGTTATACAACACAAAATCAATCAGTCACCAAGAACACATCCAGCAAATAACATTTGAATGGGAATACAAGAATTTAATCAGAATATTAAGACCTCAAGTTATAAATGTAACTGAGATTACTGGCCTAAAAGACATTTTTTGAAGAAACAATATGTATATTGTTTTCATTAATGCAGATGTGAGAATGTTTCAGTTTTGACATTGAAACATTTTGAAGATAGTTGATTTCATGGAAAGTAATAAAGGTAATGGCTAGACTCGTGTCACACATGGAAAAAAACAGACTTTTATCCTGTATTTTGCAAAATCTGGCCAGAAGTGCTTCAGCTGGATGAAAATGAAATAAGAGTAAGCAAGTAAGGTGAAATTATCTATAGAAAATATAATTCATAAACAGTATCATGTAACAGAACAAATGTAAACTTGACATGCCTAATGTTTTACTTGATTATGCTGGAATATTTTCGATCATACACAGTAGTCTGAATATATTCTTAATATTTTCCAGGACAAGAAAGACGTGGGAGGCAAGTTGTTTGTGTTAATGAATCTCCTCAGTGTGAAATATTAAGCTAAAACCTGCATAGCATCCAATCATATTTTAATCACTGGTGGTACCTTACTGTGCAGTCTCGCATGCCATTTCTTTCCTACTTGACCAGAGCTCAGTTTCTTGTAAAAACTAGACAGTAGTTGAGGGAATATTGTGAAATTTCAGGATAGCTATGAACTAATGATGACCTCAGAGAGGACGGCTACAAGGATACCTGCATCGACCTAGCTGTCTTTGGACAGTAGGAATTGTGCTCTACAGACAGGCTATGCATGAGCCCACATCAGCTTGCAGACAAAAAGCTTGACCAAGGTTTTATTTTTGACTTTTCACACTGTGAAATAAAGGGAATTAAAGGACAGAGTATTTGTGTAACCAGGATATTATAACTTAAAGCTCTAATCTTTACCGAGTTTACCGAACCAGTTAGAATTCTTTTAAGCCTGCATTTTAATTTAAGATCAAATTTTTTTCTCTTCTGGCTATCTTCATTTCCACCTTGACAATTGGAGACAAGTACCAATGTGTTGCAGTTCGATCTTGATCTCTGCACAATTCACAAAGAAATGAAGAACTGGTGAATATTTTCTGTTTGAATTTTCAGAGTTTCTAGCACTGCCACTTCAGGAGTGGGCTTCACATTCATATCTTTGAATCCTATGTATGAACATGCATTGCTAGATGTCGGGTTTTTACTTATGTTTGTGTGTGTGTGGGCCCGGGTCTTTACAGTAGGTGTCTTTGACGGTAAATTTCAACAATATACAGACAGCACACAATCCATTTGTTTTAAAATAATATATTTAAAGCAAGTCAAACATATATAGAAATGTTCATTACATAGTAAATCACCACAGTTGTATCCAGAGTTTTAAATGGTTCTTTTTTTACATCAAAAGTCCACACAGACTGGTTCAGTTACTTTAGAACCCAATTAACGATTAACGAGACGAATTATTCTTGTCTACTCTGTTATTACAATACAATCTGCGATTATTACACTTTCAAAATCACTACTATACACACTTTATTGCTAAACTTACAAACACAGTCTAGATCTATTTGACTATATCTCTCACTAATTTTGTCTTACTTTCACGTTCGTTAAGTTACTTACATGCACTAACTTGGCTGCCTATATACATATATATATATATATTGCTTGATTGAGGCCTAGTCTCCTAAAACTTTCTACAAACTACGAGACGTTATGATATAACAATACTCAATTAAAGCAATGAGGAAAAATTCAGAAGGTTCGAATAACATGACGTCAATTCACAACAACTGAACTATGCAACAAATGATTCGTAAACACTAACATAAGCAAATTTGTCATATCTATCACTTCTAAAAATAACTTATTTTAATGTTTGCACAATATAAACTATATAATACTCCCATATGAAACTTATAATGAACAGTTGTGTATATCTAACACTGGATGACACAGCTGACATGAAGGCTTTGGAATAGGCTAGTCATGGGCTAATTCTCTGGAACATCAAAAATTTCTACTTACTGTCTCACCAATAGTCGATATGACAGAGCCAAGTAATATGAGTTCTATCGAGCCCTCGACGTTCGGCATGCCAACAGTTTATTCTGCCAATTCACTACTGGATCTAGCACCCATATAATTACAAAGAATACTAAGTCCAACATAAAGTCACAGCACTGAGAGAAGAATTTCAAGTGTGCCATCAGAGAATATTTCATGAAATGAAACAAACATCATGCCATACGTGTGCACCTCCAGCAGGACCATATCATCTTTTGATTTAATAAGATCTTTTCAGAACCATATCATGAATGAAAGT